CCTGAAACATAACATACTCGAAAATTGGCCAGAAAAGAACACTACACATTTACTTATGCATTTTACAAGAAACTGAACAGAAAGAAATTTAATTTTAGAAATATCTAAACACCTTTAAAACTCACGAAAGTTTTACAGCAGCTACATATTCATCAAAAACAGTTGCTCCTAAAATTTCAAGGCAATCGGACTAGTATTCAATTTATAGTGAATTTTTCAATTAAAACAACCAATATAAATTTCGAAAAATCATAACGGCAATTATACACTTCCAAGTGACACAAGGCCAACGCCATTGTGTTTGAATTAATCCTAAGTTCCTAAATCCACAGCAACTAATCACGCACGACAAGTTCTCGCTCGATTCGCACGAATCGACGAGTTACACATCAAAATTACGATAATAAAATGAACGATAACATCACATAAAATCATATAGCATCACAACACATATATTGATTAAACGAACACACTAGGCACAACCGAACATTATATTATTCATGAAATATTTAAACAGGGAGTCGAGACTCGATACCGAGCGAGTAAGGGTTCGAACGACTTGACGGCGAACGGTAGCGAAAGAGCTCGACGGAGGCTCGTGTCTCGCCGGAAGGAGGAGGTGCTGCAGCGGCTTCGAGAGGGGATGGGTCGCTGCTGCTAGGTCGCCGGACGTCGCTGCAAGGTCGCCGGAGGGGGTCGCTGTTCGCTGCAACTGGTTGCCGGAAAAATGCAACAGAGAGGTCGCGAGTTGCTGCAACGGAGGAGACGAGCTGCAGGGCGCTTGACGGAAGAGGAAGGCGGCGATGGGACGCTGCTGCGCGGACGCTGGAGGTGATGGTGGCGACGGGAAGAGCAGAACGCGAGAGAGAGAGAGAGAGAGAGATAGATAGAGAGAGAGAGAGAGAGAGAGAGAGAGAGAGATCGATGCTGAGATGAACGAGAAAAGGGGAGAGCTGCGGATGAGATACGATCGAGAGAGAGAGAGAGAGAGCGAGATATATGTGGGCGTAGGGTTTGGAAGAACTTTTCTCACAAGAAAGAAATCACACACGCACAGCAATAGCCAAATGGGTCAGCTTTATGGGTTGGGCGCCGGTTCGGTTCAAGATCTGGGCTGGTGTGCGGGTTCGGTTGGCTCACGGGCCGGTTCAGGAAGATAAATCGGCTCACAGGCTCGCTTACAGTTCAAACGAATATTCTCGGGCTCGATTACGATTCACGCGAATACTCTCGGGCCCAACTTCGATTCAAACGCACGATAAAATAAATCGAACAACAATTATATTTTATATTTATATTAATACACATTATACACATTTTATAATTTATCACGAAAATAAATTGGCTTCTCGGCTCGGGTTCTCCGATTACTAATTTTGACAACTCCAATCGATCGCACGATAAATAAACAAAACTCCGGACAATATAAATTAAATACGTACATTATTTTTAAAATACTAATATTATTAATCAAAATATACAATTAGCCATTAAATGGCAATTAGACATATAATATTTAGACATTCAAATTTACAAGCAATATTTAATAATAACACAATAATAATAATAATAATAATAATAATAATAATAATAATAATAATAATAATAATAATACTAAATAATCATAAATAATTCTCAAATGAACCACAATTAAATGGGGCACTACAGTTACAACCTCCGACGAGCGACCACCGTCGCTCCTCCTCCACGCGCAAGCCTCCCTCCGCGACAGCAGCATCCCAGCAGCGAGTAAACGCCGCGCAGCACCTCTGCTTCGGTCGACCACGAGCCGCCGTCCTCCCCTCGCGAGCCGTGCGTTGCCGTTTGCGTCTCCCGTTCCGTTTTTCGAACGATTTCCGAGAACGGTACAAGGCTCGAACCCCGTCTCGATAAATCATATGTATCGTTTATGTTATGCGTTTATTTGATATGTTGAACATGTATGCGATTATATACATATGCCTATGATTTTATGTGTTCAATATGTTGATTGTATGTAGTCGATCTCCTCGATTTTGATAAATCGAGTGAGACCTCGTACTTCATGTTTAGTGCTGTGTGAAATTGGAACATGAAGGATCCTGAGCCTTATGGTGAAGGCTTCGGGCATTCTCGGTTTGGGTCGAGTTATTTATGAATTGTCAAAATTGTAAAATTTCTGTTTCGTATTAAATCCGTTAAAAATTGTATACTGCTCGGATTGCCATGAAATTTTAAGTGTTATGTCCTCTGATGAATATAAGACTCGTGTAAAAATTTCATAATTTTATTTGGCCTATAGATAATTTAATTAATTAAATTGATTTCTGGGCAGAATCGTGTTTATTTCATAATAAACTGATATGTGCTCCAAATTGGACAAAATTCGAATATGTTGTGTCTCTGGCATGTTTACTTGTTGTGTAAAAGTTTCAGAATTTTTGGACTCAGTTTGCTAAGGGAAATAATTTATTTTGTAATTCTGCCGAAAATTGTTTTAATTATGATAAATTAATCTGATGCTATAAATTATGATTTTTGGTTGAAGTGCTTATTTTTTGATGTGTTTCATGCTGTAAAAATATTGAAATTTTTAGAGATCATTTTTGGTTCGGTTTTAATGAAACAATGAAATCTGCTAAATGTTGTTACAATTTTATTTATTCGCATGTTAAGTTTTTAAAGTTGAGATTTTTACATGCTGTTATTCACATGCTGAGGTTCTTTAGGTAAATAGTTCATAGGCTAATTCGTTCATTAGGTCTGGTTGAAAATTTATGCTCGTTTTTGCCATAAACTTGTCTGAATTTTATAAAATAGCATACTTTGAGTTTGGGGCTGAAACTTGATGGTTTTATTAAGTACAGTAAGGTGGATTTTTGGGTAAAATTTCAGAGCCTAACGCATTTGATAACCTGACCAGCCTGATTATGTGAATTACCGGCTGTTATTTCGACAATATAGTTTTTGTGTTAAAAACTGTAAACCGACTCACATGCTATTCTTTATTTTTTTGACTTGGTAAACCTTTGATTGAGATTATGTAAACTCCTATGCATGTTTGGTTGAGTCTTAGAGCCGAGTCTAAGTGTTCCAATGTCCAAAGGACTTCACGAACAACTTAGTGGAATCAAGTTCGACTAAGTATGGTTGTGTTTTTCTTTTTAGGTCAAGATAGATTTTGATTGTAGCATATTGACTTAATGTAGGTGCTTGACGAGCCGAGCTCGCCGCCTATACGTACTTTCGTGTTGTCTCATACTCTCGACCAGTTGGGTTTTATTTAAAAATTGTCTATGCAATAAATTATTTAGATTTGTTGAATGGTGTGATTAATGCATGCGTGTGAACCATGTAACCCTCGTTGTGAGTTGTATGTCCTTTGAGCGGTTGTCCCCGTCGTTGTGAGCTGTATGTCCTTCGACGGTGCCTATTGATAGGCAGTCTCCCTAACCTAATGATAGGCAAGGCCGATGTGAGTTGTATGTCCTTCGGTATTTTACTCCCACTGTTGTGAGATGTATGTCCTTCAGAGGCTAATGTTAGATGTGCACATGAGTAAAAATGTATGATTAGGACATGTGATAATTGAATGATTCATGTTCATGCTGCAACCATGCCTAACTGTTATTGTATATGATTTATTGCATAGTGGTGAGCACTACGATTTTCAACTATGCTCATCCCCACCTGAAATTAACGTTTTAGGTTAAGCAAGGCGGGCACGACGGCAGGATGGCGAGTGGATGGTCATAATTATGTTTAAATTTGCTTCCGCTTTATTATGAATAAGTTGACTCGGATTTATGAACTTGAATTGTTTTAGGTTATGAACATGTTAATTCCTTTCAGATTATGACGTTTGAAAATGTTGGAAGCTGGATTTGTTATTTGATTGGTATTGATGAACTATGTTTGGATATTCATGATGATATGTTATTTTGAATATCATTTGAAATTTTATGTTTGGGGACAATGAGGTCCATGAGAAAAATCGGGTAATGAATTCCCGTATCAAATATGACTTCAAACAAGATAATGCCCTATTAATGTTAATTTCGAGAAATGAATTTCGAAAATGTTAACCTGATTTTTGAATAAGCCATAGATTATTTCTTAATTCAAAGTGGGGTGTTACAGTTACACGTTACATCAACTTTAATTTATTATTTACCAACTCATAAAACTTTAACTATTCACTACCTTACATCATTTCTCACCTAATTTAACATCAAATTAATTTTACCTCAAAGTAATAATTAATTATATTACATTTTTAAAAATTAACTTTAATTAATGTACAAAACTCGCTTTGAGCGAATTAATTGATAAAAAATTAATCTTCAATAACTAAAAATATTAGTACATCGAGGTAGAGCCTCAGCTATGTCCTGGGAGACCAGTAATCTAAGAAAACTGCCTTTGCTTCCCCCCTCTTTGACAACAACCACATTTTTAACTTTCTTGAATAACTTTCCTGTCTTCATGCCCACTTCTGTACTCAGCCAATGAAGAGGAAGTTTATGAACCTGGACCCACAGAGTAACATCCTTAAATCCCTCATCTAACGCCGTCAGGTCTTCCCTCCATTCTTGCAGCACCAGATATTGGTTCTCAAACACCCAATTGACTCCCGCCATTACTTTCGCTTTATCCTCCTGACAACCAAAAATAAATTGAAAGAAATTTTGCCCCAACTCCTTAACTTCGATCGGCTGCGTTGTTTGCCAAACAAAGCCCATCGTACGCTTAATCCCGAACTTGCTTGCCTTTCGGTCCCCAATGATCTTGCCCAGTAGACTACGATCACATTCCTCCTCAACAATCCGGATATCATCGGTTGCCAATTCCACACCCCTACTTTCTTTTGCCGAAAGATGTAGGTTATGAAACCTTTCCCCCAAATCGTCCGCCATCCCGCCCTAGAAGTCGCAATCAACACACACTTTAAATTACTCACGCTAAATCAGAGAGACAAATCGATGGTAGATCGCTCTTCTTCAAGAGTAAAAAACTCTCCAATGAGAGAATCGCCTCGATGTACTAAGATTAAGCTGGGTAATCAACATCTTAACGTTGTTTACCAGTATGAAAAGCTGGTAAGCCTGTGTTTTTATTGTGGTTTGGTGGGGCACTTGGAGAGGGACTGTAAAACTAGATTGAGGCATATTGAGGAAGGGACGGTGGCGGAAGGTCAGTTCGGAGATTGGATGAAAGCAGTGGAGCTAGGGAGAAATATGGGATCATCTCCACCTTCACAACCATCACATACTTCAAATGGCCACAGTAATTCTCAAAAGCAAGGAGAACCATCTTCAGCAACAAAATACCAGGCAGAGAATGGGATGGGAGAAGGGTGTGAGTGGAATGTTGCATTAATACCTAGGGAAGGCAGTATGGGAAGAGGGGAGGAGATGGAGGATGTCCAAACTAGTGAGAAGGTTGGTGGAAGCAGAAGAAGTGTGGTGGTGGAGGATAGAGGCAGTGTTAAGATGCATGGTAAGGAGGTGGTCAGGGAGTTAGAAGAGGGTGAGCAGGGGTGTGTTTCAGCTAAGAAACAAGAGGGGAATGTCAAAACTCAAAGTGGGGCTCAGAATGTCCCTGTGTGGAGGAGGAAGGGACATGCCAAAGAGAGACTCAATAGAACTGATAGTCCAATGGAGATTGTTCCAGTTCAGGGGAATGGTAAGAGACATAGACAGTTTTTTGAGCAAGCTATGGAAGTGGGTACTGAGGGGCAAGCTAAAAGAGTATGCACTGCATCACAGACTGAGAATGACGAACATGTGGGGGTAGCCAGCCTTGAATGGCCCCAGGTGGATAAATGAAGACAACCTTGTGGAATTGTAGAGGTCTGGGAGGGCCCTCTACAGTTTCCCAAATCAAGGAAGCCATTAAGGCCCACCTCCCCAGTTTTGTGTTTTTATCTGAGACTAGAAAAACAAAGTTTTTTATGGAGATTGTATGCAAGAAGTTGGGGTTTGCTGAGAGGAGAATAATTGTTGAGCCTCTGGGTCTAGGTGGAGGTCTAATGCTGATGTGGAGTAGAGAGGTGGGAGTGCTTCAATTTGTTACTCATTCTTTTTGTATTCAGGTGAAGTACAAGTCTGCGGAGGTGGTTGTACCTGAATGGATGATTTTTGTCTATGGGAGCACAGGTAGCCATGTCAGGGAGCTGCAGTGGAGGGAATTAGAAACTGACAAAGGTTTATGGGGAGATAGATGGTGCATTGGGGGAGACTGGAATGCTATTAGGAGTAGTAGTGATAAGAGAGGAGGTAGGGTGAGATCTGAGAGGAGCTTTGATAATTTCAATACTTTCTGTGCTAATATGGGTATGATGGAGATCAAAATGGAGGGATACTCATATACTTGGGGCAACAACAGGCAAGGGGAAGGCTTTGTGGAGGAGAAACTTGACAGAGTGTTTGGTTCCTTTGCTTGGGTCTCTTCTTACCCAGGTGCCAAAGTGACCTCTCAGTTTAAAAGTGCATCTGACCACTCTTTGTTGATTTTGGAGACTGGTAACCAAAGACCGAAATGTTTCAAGAGATTCGTGTTTGATAAGAAGTGGTTGAAGATGGAGAGGTGTTCTAAGGAGGTAGAACAGGCTTGGAGTGAGGTGGTGGAGGGGAGTCCCATGGTGAAGGTGAGAGAGAAAGTTAAGAAGACAAGAATGGCCATTCTAAGGTGGAATAAGTTGTTCAAATCAGACAATGCCAAGAAGATTGAGGACCTGACATTGAAATTGGAGGAGATGAGGAAGTTAGGGGGTCAAAGAAATTGGGAGGAGTGGGAGCAGATCAAGCAAGAGCTCGACCAATCACATTTATCAGAGGAAGTTTTCTGGAGTCAAAAGGCAAGGCTGCAGTGGTTGAGGGAAGGCGACAAGAATACAAAATTTTTTCATGCCATGACTATGCAAAGAAGGAAGAAAAATGCAATTGACAGGCTGGTGGTGGAGCAGAATCAAGTGGTGGAGTCCCAGGAGCATATTGAACTTGCTATAAGGAATTTTTACCAACAACTGTTTGAATCTGAAGGATCATAGGGGGAGGCTGAATTGCTACCATTAATTCCTCAATCAATCACTGAATCTATGAATGAAGCTCTGATTGCCTCAGTGGAGGAAGAAGAAGTGAAGGCTGCCCTGTTCTCTATGAACCCAAATAAGGCTCCAGGTAATGATGGCATGACCCCTCTCTTTTATCAACATTTTTGGCCTATTCTGAAAGAGGACCTTTGTGCTGCGGTGGCTCATTTTTTTGAATCTGGAAGGATGATTACTAGCTGGAATCACACTGTAGTCACTTTAATCCCAAAGATTGATAACCCTGTCTCTCTTAATCATTTTAGACCTATTAGCCTTTGCTGTGTTTCCTATAAAATTGTGGCTAAAATTTTGGCTTCTAGACTGAGAGAGTGCCTCAAATTCTGTATTCATGAAACTCAGTCTGCATTTGTACCTGATAGACAGCTGCTAGATAATGTGGTGATTGCGCATGAGGTCATCCATTTTCTGAATAGACATAGATCTGGTAGTAAATGCTTTATGGCTGTCAAACTTGATATGATGAAGGCTTATGACCGAGTAGAGTGGAATTGTGTGGTGAAAACAATGCTTCAGATGGGTTTTCATCGCATCTTTGTTCAGTGGATTTTTGCATGTATGTCATCTGCAGTTTACTCTTTTAATGTCAATGGGAAGGTCTCTGGTTTTGTGACTCCTTCAAGGGGTATCAGGCAAGGGGACCCCTTGTCCCCTTACCTCTTTATCTTAATCTCAGAAGTCTTTTCCAGATTGATCAGAACCACTGTGAGAGATGGGGATATGCAGGGACTGAAAATATGTAGAGGTGGGACTACCTTATCACAACTTTTATTTGCTGATGACACATTAGTTTTTTGTGCTGCTGATGAACCAAATGCTCTGAGTCTGTTGAGGGTGCTTGCAGTTTATCAAAGTTTTTCTGTACAAAGGGTAAATCTTGCAAAATAAAATGTGTTCTTCAGTAGGAATACTAGTGAGGTGGTGAAGCAAGGGGTGTGCCAAACTCTACAGGGGATAGCAATATGTTCTTCTACCAGATATTTGGGCTTACCTATGGGGTTGGGGAGGTCAAAGAAAGAGGTGTTCAATTTTGTGTTGGAAGCTGTGAAGAAAAGAATCAATAGCTGGACTAATAAACTCTTATCAAAAGCTGGGAAGGAGGTACTTATGAATGCTATTATTAATGCCCTTCCAGTTTTTGTCATGTCTTGTTTTTGCCTGCCTATCAGTATTTGTAAAGAGATTGCTAAGATGAGTGCAGATTTCTGGTGGACTGGAGGGTCTGAGCAGAAGAAAGGTATTTACTGGGTAGCTTGGAAGAAGGTTACTTTACCAAAATAATCTGGTGGGCTGGGATTTGAGGATGTGAGAGTATTTAATGACTCTTTGATCCTTAAACAAATCTGGAGGTTACTTACCCAGCCAAATACCTTGGTGACCAAAATCTTGAGGGAAAAGTACTTTCCTGTTGGGTGTGTATTGGAGGCCAAAACTCATAGTTCTGCATCTTAGCTCTGGAATTCTTGGGTGAAAGTGATGAATATCTATAGAGAATGCTTCAGAAGGGAGGTGAAGGATGGTTTGAACACCAAAATCATGTCTTATCCTTGGGTTACAGGGTTACCTTCTGGGAAGCCAACTTTGAGATCAGAGATTACTGCATTTCAGCTACAGTGGGTGAATGAACTTCTAACAGCAGATGGCAGAGGTTGGAATAGAGATGTTGTCCATGAGTTGTTTAATGAGTCATCTTGCAATGCTATTCTGGCAATGACAGGCCTTGATCCCAATGAGAAAGATAGGTGGATTTGGAAGGCAGATGCTAAAGGTAAGTTCTCTGTTTCATCAGCTTACTCTGTTGCAGTTAGGAAGAAACTCCTTAAGCTTGACCTACCTGGCTGTAGCTCCACTGTGATATCTGATAAGAAGGCTAGAATGAGGTGCTGGAATTTGAAGGTTAAGGGGAAGCTAAAACATTTTGTATGGAGGTGCTTTACAGATAGCTTACCTGTTAGTGCAAATCTGAGTTTAAGAGGAATGCAGGTTGACCAGGTATGTCAGTGTTGTGGGGAATGTGTGGAAACTGTGGAGCATGTTATGTTCAATTGCACCAGAGCAGTTAAAGTGTGGGGTTTTGCACCTATTTCTTGGGACCAAGCGGCTATCTCTGTATCAAAATTCAAATACTGGTGGGGGAGCTTGGCAGAAATGAATAAGGCACCTACAACCGAAGCCAGGATCCAATTATCGACATACATATTATGGTGGCTTTGGAAATCGCGTAACTTGTGGGTCTTCCAAAAGGTGTGGATGTCGGAATTGGTAGTTGCTCGCAATGCTGTGAAGGAATGGGCTGAGTTCAGCAGTTGTCATCCCTAGTTTGGTTCATTTTGTGCTTTGAGTCTTAAGTCTTGGATCGGGGCTAGGTTCTTATGTTCAGTGGCTCCGAGTTAGTATTTGTTTTAGTGCTTTGCTGTTTGGACTGTGTATGTCTAAGGGGTCAAATCTATGTGTTTGCCCTTGGGCGCTTGTATTTATTGTTGTTCGTTTCGATTTGTGTTTGTAGTCCACCGGCGGTGTGGCACTCCATGTTTCTTTTTCTTCATCTGTTTGGGTTGAGCTAGTGAGCTCTACGGGTTGTATCCGAACTATGTTTGTTTTCATTGGTTTTATGAGATGTTTTATTATCGTTTGGAAAAAAAAAAATAACTAAAAATATTCACTTGGAGCTAATTAATTTGTGAATAAACACACCCTATTATTAGAAGCAGAAGGAAAAAAACACATAAATCTACACTAAAAATAAATAAAACAAAACTTCTCAGAAAACACCCTTACATCTTATATGATATAATCAAGGTTATTTTCCTTGGGTTTGATAATATGTTATGTTGGTGGCGGCTTGAGAAGGCGTTGGTTTTTTAAGGCGTTTTTTTTCTTTTCTATTCAAACGAATATAATAAACTAAAACCTTAAAATGTACAATCGGATAACCGACTAGTTACACAATAAATCCCTAAAAAACTAGAGACCCGCCCACGAAAGAGCCTGGGTTGCTGTTCTTGGAAATGCAAACATGGCTAGAAACAATATCTACCCAATAAACTAAACCGAAACAAACAAGAAGAGAAAAGAGTCTTCGACACCAACAAAGAACACACTGAGAAATGACAATTCAAAGACGAAACAACAACCTTAACATCTACAAAGTAAACTAAGCCTTATCAACCTTCCTTGAAAGCCTCTTCCAAGCTGCTTCTAACCCTTATCAGTACAGCTTTCTTCTTTGACTCCACTGCCACCCGAACTTCCGGCCTAGCCAATAGCAGCTCTCCTTCCTTCTTGGCACATCCAACCAGAGTTGCTATTTCGACATCAAAAATCCGAGCATGGACAAATATAGCTATTTGTCCTACTCCCACCTCAATATCTTCTGTTTGGGTTCTAACACCACTTTCATTGTTGGATCTTGTCTTAGAATCTGCTTGATCTTCATGATGCCCTTGGCTCCATTTTGATCTTGATCTCTCCACCACTTGTTCTTCTTGAAATAACCCTCCTCTGAAAATCCAATTGTTTCTAGCATTCCAAATATTCCACAGTCAGGTCATTTATCTTTCTCCATTCCACTCCCAGAAGCTTCCAGCAGATTATATCTTGCATCAATTAAAGAACAGATGATCTATATCTTCAAGTTCTTCTCCACACAACACACCATTTATGCACTTGAACTCCTCTTCTTCTCAGTTGACTCTTGGTACTACCATGATAAGTTCTCCACAGAAAGTTTCTTATCTTTACTTGGACAGGAAGTCTCCAAGTTTTTTTCCACATCTTCACTTGTTCCTCATCTAGTTTGCATAACTTTCTTGACCTGTTTTAAGACTTATAATGGCAGCATAGGTGGATTTAACAATAAAGTTGCCATTGGGGCTAAAAAGCCAATTTATTCTTTTTTCCTAAATGGATCAAGTGGATTTTCTTTATAGACTCTGCATTAAAAGGACTAAAGGTCTGGTCAATCAAATCTAGGTCCCAATCTCTGCTCCCCTCTTTAGTCAGCTCACACACTCTCACTAGTTTCTCCCCATTCATCTGGAAATGCAAATCAAGTTTAAAAGAACTCCTATTAGGAATCCAAGGGCAATTATAAATCTCTGTAGCTCTACCATCTCCCACCTGAAATCTAATCCCCCTCTTAGAGGTTTCCCTAGAACTCATCTAGCACTTCCACATCCAAGAGTCTCCATCTCTCTTCCTAACCACTGACAGCCTTTGATTTACCAATGAAAGGGTATTGTTGGCTTTGTTTTGTATATAGTTTACTTTATCGTTTTTTTTCCTATTTCTAATTTACCCTGTTATTCTTTTATGATTTACATGGCGGAGCTGCTAAAGTTAAAGTTATGGCTGATGCAAGGTGGACATTAGAATCCGTGTAGTGCACGTCTCAGAAAGCCAAAGAACCTTCATTTCTCATGTAAAGAGTATGTAACTGAAATCAGAGAGATAGAAATGTACTTTTGTGTGTTTCTTCTCTTTTTTAACATATGACGATGACAAAAATTAAGGTATGGAATTGGAAAACGCACAAAGGTTTCCTGGAAATAAAGAAAACAAAACACATATTTACAACTGGAAGTTTGGCGAGACACATATAGCCTATGGCATGTGTAACACTTGTTTCAGTTGAGCAAATGTAGAAGGATGCATTTTGAACATGACAGTGAAACAATTCTCCATGGAGGGCTGTACAAGTTTGCCTTAGCGAATTTTCCAATAAGATTTCCTTTATCTGGTCATAGAGCTTGATCTGCAGAATGATAACTTCATGAATAAAAATATGATGTGTAAACAGTATGTCAAAAATGTGGTGAAACTGAAGTGTACTTGTCTCTTCCTCAACTCTTTGCCCGGTATCGGCTAGCTAGAGTTCATGCTATCGCTACTGTTTTGGAACAAGAAAAAATTACTGTAAGACAACGGAAACTAATTGTGTCCTTATTTCAGAAAATGGGGACTCGAGTTTTACGTCGTTACAGAAAATTGCATTTCAAGATTTCAAATTCTCCTCTTAAATTTGTACGTAATAAGATACTCAATACTACAGTTTGTAAGAGATGGGTATTTGAAATTTTGAAAACATAGCGCTCAACATAGTTATTCATAAATCAAGCACGTATTAAGTCATAATTTCCTTCAGTTATGTCCCCACTTGCACCCAATATTACACTTGTGCATACACTATCAGATTCATGAAAACAATAAATCAAAATTACGTGTAAAATCAACTAAACAAGATGAGAGAATAAAGATTACGCTGATGAAAAGACCTTAGAATCTGATCAAGTTTATCAAGTAATTGATGCATCTTCAATGTTAAAATTATGGAGAGAGGCAAACCAAATATCTTTCTTTGAGTGGACATGACATTTTCGAGCTGCAATCCATGATATGTATAAGTAACAAAAATATTTGTGTATAAACATGGACAATGCATAAGGAAAACTCATAGCGGTCTGAAAATGTGAAAGATACACAAGTATAGAATATGATCAAGGAACTTGAAGTGATCATTTAGCACAAGGAATTTAAACATCCATAGCTCACCTTATCAACTAGGCACAGAAGAATGTTTTCCTCCCCTACAAGCACTGCCAATCGTATCTCACTGTAGTTGATGATATTGTTTCGACAGTAATTCTATGGAACCATCGGATGGCTTCCTTATGGAGCCATCCATAACTTTATATATTGACACGTGTCCAATGTGTATTTATTGCAGGACACGTGTCAATACATCATTTGTGGATAACTATGGATGGCTCCATAAGCCAAGCCATCTGATGGCTCCATAGCAAAACCGGTTGTTTCGAAGGTTTCTTTCTTTTATCTTTGAATTCTTCTGAATGCTGATATTGATTACTACAAGAAAATGATGAAATTCCAACAAAAATATATTCTAATATAATTCCAATGGCAATTCCAATAGATATTTCAATGCTATTATTTCTGTTGGAATAATTCCAAAGGAAATTCCAACAAAAATATTCTGTTGGAATGAATTTTCAATTGGAATTTCCGTTGGATTTTGATGATTCCAACGGTGGTGGAAATAAAAATTTCAACGGAAATTCCTACAGTCAAAAGCCATTGGAAATATAGCCGTTGGAATCATCAAATTCCATCTAAAATTCCAATGAAAAATACATTTCAATGGAATATTTTTGTTGGAATTTCCGTTGGAATGAATCCAACGGAAGATATATCATTGCAATATCCGTTATAATTTCCATTGGAATATATTACCATAGGATTTTCCGTTGGAATATAACATCTTTTTTGTAGTGTTGTTTGATATCGATTTCAATATTCAAAATTTTGATTGTATCCGGATGTTCTAGTTTAGTGGTTGTAAATTGGCAGATGAGCCTGTTTTTGGTTTGATGAAACTTTGGTTACTCTAACTTGTTAAGTGTTGACATATTTGAACAGTTTTTTTCCCGTCATTTTGATACTGGTTGGCGTAGTTGTAAGTTTTGTTTCATGGTGATATGCTTCTTCGTATTCGCAAATCAAAAGGTACTTGTTAATAGCTTTTGTCTTTCATAAGTGAGAAAGACTGGCAAATTTTGAACCGTGTGTTTAGTTGAAATTTTTTAAGGGGTTGAGTTCATCGAAGTACAGAGTGATGATCCGTTTGCTTCAATTTTTTGTGATAATAGGACAGTGTTCTCGATTTGTTGAGCTGGTCAGGTGCTTTGTGGGTTGATGTTTATAGTCAGATTTAATATTCAATTTGAGGAGTATTAACTGATGTCAAGGTATTGCTTGATAGGTTGCTCCTCTTTTGCCAACAATTCCATTATCAAATGTTTTCCTGTTAGTTTTTGATTAATTGTTTGTCTCACATCCAATGTATACCAAAGATGTGCAGGATCTTATTAGTATAAATAGGTCCCTTGCCTTTGGGTTACAATTGCACCTTATTCTATTCTCTCCTCTCTTAGAAAGAAATCCTTAATTAAGGAAATCTTAATTTGTGGGTTATTTAACCCTAGTTGTATTTTGTTGGTGAGTTTAGTAAATTTGACGTTGCGGTTGGCGGTGCCCGGAGACGTAGGCTATTTTCGCCGAACTCCGTTATCAATTTTTGTGTTCTTTTTATTTCTCGTCTTTTATTTATTTGTGTTGGCTTATTTTCGTTTGGAGTAGTGCTTGCCATATTTGTTGGAGGGGTATTTTTATCCGCTGCGCTTGGTGTTCTACCCCAACAAGTGGTATCAGAGCCGAAGGTTCGCCCTAGGCTTATTCGAAGAGGCGATCACTGCATTCAGGTTTGAGATGTCCAAGGAGGTCAAGGGCGCATCATCCTCTGCATTTATTTCGGCAAGAACGGGGATGCCGAACGTCAGACTCCCGGTGGAGATCTTCGATGGGACCGGTCATTTCGGCATGTGGCAAGGCGAGGTGCTGGATTGTCTATTTCAGCAAGGCGTCGACATTGCCATTGAAGAAGAGAAGCCAACAGACATTGAAGAGAAGGACTGGAAGAATATCAACCGCTTAGCATGTGGAACAATCCGTTCATGTTTGTCGAGGGAGCAGAAGTACGCGTT